AGGTGGGAAAGGCTGGCCTCGTCGATCCTTAGAGGACCTACAAAAGGAAGTGTGTGTGTGTGTGTGTGTGTGTGTGTTTCCCAGTCATTTATTTGTCGTCCTGATTTTGAAAGCCCCCTGCCCGGCGGTATTCTAGTCAAGAGAGGGAAGGCCGAGTTATTCTATGATGAGTTACGCCAAACGCGTTTTCCCTGTTTCTTTTCTTTTGAAATTTCCTGGTAGGTCTAGCCAAAACATTCAAGGTGGGCATCGATCACCACCTTCTTAATTTTGTAGTCCGAAAAAAATGGTAAAGATTTAACGTGCTTCTCAGCTTTAGCCTATGGGACGTATTCGCAAGACCACACCCATCCTAGCTCCGCACGAAGGGTTACTAACCTTGCCTCAATTCGGAATCGTCTTTCAAATTAGTTAATTCTGACAATTCTTTTTCTTTGTAAACGCCGCTTATTGTAAGCTGAGGTCCACACTCGCTTCTTTATTCGGTGTGTTTCAGGGGATGGCGATATATGTTAAGAGTATTTTTAATTTCATGTTTTTATAACTGTGAGTGATTAGAACCCCGAGAACGTCAATTCTCAGACATTGCGTCCCATGTTTTAAAAAGGGGAGATTCGGAAAGAAGAGTGCAGGAGTCTAGTTTAGGCACGGGGGTAGCCACATATGACCCACTAATGCACTGAAAGGTTGGCTAGGAGGAGTATTTCTCTTATAGTCGAGCTCGTCCCAAGTAAAACAGGAGAAGAAAGCGTTATTTTAATCTGATCCTAAGACGTAAAACTATGACCGGATCCTATGCACATATATTCAGCAGAAAGCGCAAACGTGGATTTTACGGAGTGGGTGAAATTTAGTATGTAAATATTTAAAATAAGAAAGCATTAAAATAAGTAAGTAAATATAAACAAATAGGATGTCAATCTTAGAGATGTATTTGGCTTATCAATAATATCTCAGGCTAAAAAAAAAAAGCTAGACGCATAGTCGCTGGGAAATATAAGTGTTGTGTCAGTTAAAGAAATAAAATTCTCGGTGAAGTTATGGTGGAAATTCTGCCCGTGGAACTTCATAGCCAAGTAGCTTCCTAGGGATTTTATTTCTTGAGCTTTGCCGCAATTTCTGTCACACTTTTTTTCACTTAGATTAAACGCTGGGAAACTACCTTAAGTCTCCCCACCCCGAAGTGTGGCGCCAAATGGAACTGGCGCGTTTTAAACCTTCACGGTGAACAAGAATCAATGGGAGGGAGGGCATGAGATCTATTATTATTATTTTAATTATGCATGGGGGGAGCAATAAGAATCATTGCTGTTCCTTCAAAAGCCTGAAGGCTCTTCAACTCCTTCAGCCCACACCCAGCAGCGGATCCTTTAAGAGCCCCCCTCCTCTTTTTCCCTAGGACTGTTTGGACAACTTTGGGAAACAGCGCGTGCGGATTTCAAAGAAACAGCCCCCCCCTTTTGTAGGGCGGCGGCTTCCTCTCCCACGAGGAGGTCGCCCTTCCCGTGGTACCGACCTTAGTTCTTTTGTAGCCTAACCCTGCCAAGCCCGAGTAAAGCTGCAAAGAAGCGAGAGGGCGCGGGTTGAAGAGGCGGGCGTGCAGTAGCTGGCCCAGCTCGCAAAGCCGTTGAGCTGTAGGCCGAGGAAGGTTGGCCGACCGCCAGCCTGGTCGGGTTAAGCGCCGGGGCACCCTCTTGCGCCGGGGATGGCTGTCCTTGAAGAGCGCGGTTGAGAACAAGTCTCAGGGACTGGCATCACCATCGGTGGCACTATTAAAAGGAGCAGTGATGATGAAAAATTAAGTTAATGATAGGGCTTTGTTGAGGGGAGCTGAATCCGGAGAAGTTGCGTGTGGACATCAGATTTCAGAGACAGATAGACAGATGGATAGATAGGCAGCCAACACATATAAGAGGAAGTAGAAAAGGCTGCTTATGACCAAACAAAAACCGGAGCTAGGGAAGCTAAATGGATACCTCAGTCCTATTCAGTCCTACCTGGAAGAAAGTTCGCTAAATAAAGGATGGCTTAATCCTGAGTAGATGTGTATTGCTGGGTCAAGAACTTTTCAAATTCCATAACTTGCAATGGAAAAATTATATAAATGTATGCCTGCCTTCTGTTCAGGAATAAGTCGAATTGAATTGAGTGAGACTGGGAAGGAGGGAAGGAAGGCAGACAGGCAGGCAGGCAGGCAGGCTACTATAACCTTTGAGTATCTTAAGTCTCTCTTGGAAATGCATGGGGACTTATCAGCATGGGTTGGTTGTGTTCGCTTAGCTTATTAACTAAACAGCTTGGTTCACACATTCTCCTAACCTGTATCTATCTAGTTGTGGTTTAAGAGTGACGTGGAACCCAGCTTCATGATTTAACTCGTGGCTATGAAGTTACGAATCAAAACTCTAAGCGGTACTGAATCTGGCCAATGAATGAAGTTCAGCCAGATCTCTCTCTCCTGGCAACCCGCTGTCTGTTAAGACTGATTCACGCATAAGTTTGCAAGTTTGCGTAAGTTAATGACCGTCTTCCCAACGCTTTCACCCATACTGATGAATGGGTGGAGAGCGGAATCTTAAAACTGCCTGGAAGGGATAATTTCTCTTGCAACGGTAGCTCTGAATTACAAAGAAACATCATTTTTCGCACCAGTTAGTCCCAGACCAAATTCAGGCTGGAGTCCACCACAAGTTGGCTTAAATTTAGTGCTGAACATAGCCAAGAGGGAATATTTCCCAGGTGAAGCATGGGGGCGAAAGAAAGGGGCCTGTTTGTTCTCGGTTGTTTGGGAGGGATGGCGGTGATAACAGTCAAAAGTGTCAGGTAAGAAAGACCACCTGAGGAAAAATAGATTCGACTGCTGCCTTTTGGTGTACGACACGTTAACCCCTTTATGTCGTATTTGAGAGTGAGTTCAGGAGTTTCATCAGTTCAGTCCGCCATCCACAACTTCCATGAGCGCAGTTAGTCGCAACTCTCGCGGCGATCTTGGCCTGTTTTCAAGTGCCATGAGCGACGGCAACGTAGCACCATTAAGGCGCTGCAAGGCGTGCTGAGTGGCAGGGCCCGGGTGGGCTGCATTTTTTTAGAAGAACCAATGAAATCGCGCGAGCTCGGAGATGGCGGGATCCCTTGCACGGGGTACACTTCGCGACACTTCCGCGGCACCCCAGAGGCTTTTCTGTTGAGTAGGCCACTGGATAATAGTTCCAGGAACTCTTATAAGAGAGTTTGCCATATATTTTGCTCAATGGATGTCTGCTATTACGTCTTGTTTAGTCAGGAGTGAAAGGCTGTATCTAGCAGTCATCTATATTTATTTAGTGACTCTCCGTTCAGACGACTATTCAGGCTAACGGGTGAGTCTGGAGTGACCCAGAACGTGGGCAAAATTGCCGAGCTGGGCTGCAGTCAAGTAATAGGTGCCTTAACTCCCGCTTCATATTTCAAGTGAAAATACGAACTGTACAAGTGGAGTTTCGGTCACTTTTAATGCTGTATGGGGAACCTGGGAGACACAGCAGCAGAATGGATTTCGGGTGTAAAGGTCTTACTGAATATACTTTCTGGAGTTTGTGCTTAGCTGCATTTGATGACACCGGCTGGCTTAGCAGCCCAGCCCAGAATGGGGGCTCGGCTGAGATGGACGCATGACACCCTCGGGGAATCGAGGAGCCGTGCGTCCTATCATGCCCCCCCCCCGCGCTCCAAGTTCACTCCCACGCGGTGGAAAGGAAGCAATCATTTTGACCAGGCAACCCCGCTACCTGGTGCTTTTACTCCGAACATCTGAATAGCAGGAATCTTTTAAAAGTGCTTTATTTGCAGACACCTGGTGAATGCCGGCTCCTTGATCAAAGCTGGAATGTTTCCAATGGGGTGGGGGCTCTGCAAAGACACCCATTAGCCTAAGCGACCGTCTGCATTGAGGGTTAGGTAGAATCCCAGGCCTGCAGGCTAGAGGAGGAAGTTGAAGGCGATGGCAAAGCGCGTCTGTCCCGCTGCCAAGAAACTACCCAGCTCTGGCTGTGGAAGCGCCAGGAGTCAGGTTCGGGAGGAGAGAGTCTCCCTTTGGCTTTAACCTGGCTTGCAAGCCCTCTCGCTTAGGTCAACGCCGCTTCCAGTCTGGACTAGCAGAGCCCCCGGGAGTCTTACTGGGATCCTTCTTCACGTAAAAGTGGTGAGGCGCCTGGGAGAAAGTGAGAGAAGGGCGTGCGTGTGTGCGTGTCTCCCTCCGCAATCGCGATTCACATAGAGAAGGGGGTGGGAGAGAAATATCTCTTTCCCCACGCAGATATTTGTGTTATTGTAAAAACTGTTGGAAATACACAGCGAAGGTGTTCTTGAGCAGAGTCGAGCTGCTACTGCCGCCGCCAGTCTGCGTGCAGGGAAGAGAGCGAGGGAGCGTGTAGTTGAAAAGGGGAAGTGAATGAATCTCTTTGAGGCCAAGATCCAGCCGCCTGGAAGCTCTCCGAGCAGGTGGATCGAGCAAGGACAGGATGGATTCCGCGGACCTCGGGCGCTGGCTTCAAGCCTCATTCCGGCTGGTTCTCCGGGTTGAGCCGATCGCAGCCACCTCCAACTCTTTCCTTCCCCTTTGCTTTTCCGGAGCCAGCCTGCTTGGCTCGACTAACCCCTTTACCTACACCCTGCTTCCCCTGGGAGACGGCCGTCCCATTTGGGCCTCCTGCCAGCGGGCGGCGGCGGCGGCGGCGAGGATGGCCCGGGTCCTTGTCACCTCCTCCCTCTTCCTAAGACCTGCGAGACCTTTGCTGCTGCTTTTTCGTAACCGGAGCGGGCACGTTTTGGGGAAAAAAATATCTCTTCCCGTCTTCTGGATTGCTCCCCCTTTTTATTTTCCCCCTGAATCTCGTTTTGGCTGTGGCTGTGCGGAAGGCAACCTTGGCTAAGCAACCGGAGCCGCGCGTGTGCTGGGAGTGTGTTTGGGGGTGGTTCCCCCCCCTCTTGTTCTCTTGCAGGGTACAATGTTAAAAAGCCACCGCTAGTCGCCCCCAGTGCTCCTACTCTCTAGGTCTTTTTTGTCTCTAGTGCAGATTAAACGTCACGTCCGCACTTGAACTTGAATTTTATCCCATTGTACGGAGGCAGACCCAGCCATAGAGAGATTGAGCGCTCCCAGGGAACCAGGACTCCGCCATCTTCACATTGCAATATATCTCCTAGTAATAGCCAGCACTCACCCAGAAGCACTGGGGGGCTTCCTTCCTATCAAGACCTTGTGCCAAGCGAGGGGCGGGGGGGAAGCACTGGTAAAAGTAGTGCGAGCAAAGCAAAAAGCAAAAAAGCAAAAAAAAAAAAAACCTCAAACAGTAGCACTTGAACTGGCAAAGAGGAGACACAGTTTGGCTATCCCTTTAAAAAAAGCAAAGCAAAAAAGAATTCTAATTAACTCAGCAAGGGTATTTTTGGTTGCATTTTTCTCTGCGTGTGGGCAAATACCAATTTTTCTACTTTTGTGCGAGCATGTATGCATTTAATTCAATTTTCATATCTTTTTCTTTTTTGTTTTTTTTTTAAAGAAAACCCTCCTGATGGAAGAAGTGCACTTTGCTTTTTTTCCCCCCTTCTTTTTCTTCTAACCACTCTGGAAAAATAAATGTCAGCGCTTGGTGAAGTTCAAGAAAAGATCTGGAAGCTGTGGAAAAGGAAAACAAAAACCAAACAACCCAAAAGACAGTTGTCTTATGAAAATAAAATCTAAGCCTCCCTCACTTCATTTATGATGTTTGTTTAATTGGACGAAGAACCTCATCCTGAGAACGTCAAGGGGGGAAAGTGCTTCTCTCTTTCGAATTCTTTATTTTCTTTTTAAAAGAAGAAATCCGTCAAGAAGAGCATAGAAGAAGAGGAGAAGACGACCGCTCCCCCCTCCTCCGCTCCCCCCTACCTAAGTCCAGCTCTCCGGGCGATGACCGTGTAAATGCCAGGGCAATGTCCCGTCGCAAGCAGGGGAACCCGCAGCACTTATCACAAAGGGAAATTATCACGCGTAAGTTATGCCTCGCGAGGAACCGACTCGGAAAGAGGAATGTATGTCGGGAGAAGCGAAGGAGGGGGGGGGGGGCTCGAATCTGGATGCGATTTGGGTGTCTTACGCGAAACTGGACGGAGGATTGCAGTGGTGCTGGAGGGTGGGAGAAAGTGAAGGGCTTTGGAGAGTTAGGGAAGAAGGAAGGGGACTCTGGCCACGGCGGGGATGCCTGGCAGGCTAGAGGGACGTATGTGTGCTGGGGGGGGGCTGGCAGAACGAAGCGAAAGAGGTGTGTATGCCTGGAGCCGAGCGAGGAGAAAGTTTGAGGGGAATTTGTAGGCAGACGGGCGGGAGCAAGAAAGAAGAAGGCCAAGGAGCCGGCCGAGAGGGGGAAGCGAACTGGGGATGGCGGGGAAGGAGTGAGGGGTGCACTACAGGAGCTTGAAAGGAGAGGCGAGGCGGCTCCAAAGTTGGCCGCGAGTGGAAGGCAGCGGCTGGCGGGGAAGGTGGCTGGAGCGCGACAGGGAGATCCGTAATGAGAACCACATGGAGGGAACGTTTGAGCCGGGGATGAAGCGGCGAGGCCGGCGTGGGGAGCTGGGAGAGGGGGAGGCGGAGCGTGGCAGGCGAGGTGGGGGGAGATCCAGTGATTGGGGCTGCTTCGCCCCCCCCCATTAGGGAAGCCCCTCTCGGTAATGGAGATAGGACCGGACATGGTGGGGAGGGATGGCGGCGACGGACAGGTAGTCGGGCGGGCTCGGAGTCTTTGGATCGATTTCTCCCTCGATGAGATCCGGCAGCCTGGCGCAAAGCGTAGGGTGGTTTTGGGCGTGTGGCGAGAGCCCAGGCGAGGACGGGAGGGGGGGGGGGAAGCAGATGTATGTGCGCGAGGGGGGAGTGTGGGAATTTTTTGGTGGGACCTCACAAAGTAATGGCAGCACCATTTTGCAAAACGCAGCGCGCGCCAGCAGCAAGCAGCGAAGTCCTGTGAAAAGCGCGCCACTTTCTAATCCTGCAAGAGCAAGGTGCTGCTGAGATTCTAACGTGACCCAAAATAGTTCAAGCAGATGAGGATGGAATGGGGGTGGCCAAGGGATGTAGAATGAGGTACTCCACACGTCGGAGGCAAGAAGGGGAGGGGGGAAATCCAGGACTTGGTTGTCTGGAGTCGTGGGGGGTCTGGAGCTAAGGGGTCAGTGTGTCTCGGTTTCAGCTTCTTGTTGCAAAATCTACTGGACTGTTAATTAAAAAGACAGCAGCAACCAGCCTTTTATTTTGCATTTCTTCTTATCTTTCTTTGCTGTCCCGAATACTTTGAAATGCAATAGACACCAAATACTGTTGCAAGTGCCTTGAGGATTTGCAAAACAGCATTGCTTTTTTTCTGCTTTCTCTCCTGGCATTAAAAAAAAAAAACAATAGCTAGGTGCAACATAAAGTAACTGGCCAAGAAACATCTGGAGTAGCATTCCGGGACGGGGGAGGGGGGGGAATAGGATATTGCAGAGAAGAAAAAGGAGCGAAATCAGAACCAAAAGAAAGGCAAGCAGACACTGCAAGGAACAGCTCCTTTGCACGCCCGGGCTGCCGCGAGAGCAGCCGCTGCTTCTGGGAGCTGGGCGAAGCAACGGAAGGAGGCGCGCGTCTGGGCGAGACCCGTAGAGAGGCTGAGTGGAAGAGATGGGGGGAGGGGGGGAGCCAGGAAAGAATAGAATATGTATGTTAGATTTCTCCAAATTTAAATGAACATAAATGCAAACACGGTCCTGCGTCTCCCCTCCCCCCGAGAATCTAGGACATCTGCCAGCAGCATTTGGTGACAGCGGTCGCTCTCGGTCTTTCCTTTGTTACAGCTGATAAAAATGATACTTGTAAGAATACATCGGAATTATATTGATTGGAGAACGAAGGCGCTCGACCCGGGATGGCATTTGGCTCGTGAATGTTATTTTTTTTCGCCCCCTCCCCCAACTACTTCATTTTTTTTCTCCTTCCCCCTCTCCCGCCCTCATTCTTGCATTCCCCCCCTGCTTTTTACTACTGAGCTGCAGCACCGAGGAAGATGCGTTTGGTATCGGCGTTTAAATTGATTTTGAGCGGGGAGTGGATGGCTGGTTTTAAAGTGGATTTAAAACCAAAACTCAGGCAAAACCTGTCATACCTTTTGAGCAAACTCTAATTCCCCCCCCCCCCGAAGAAAAATCCTAGCCAGTTTGTGAAATTCCCAAAGGGAAGGAAGAGGACTCTTGTTTTTTCCCCCAAATTATTCCAAGGAAGTCTTCTGTTTTCTGAGCGGCTAGCAGGTGGACTTTCATTTTTGATAGTGAAGGGGGGGGGGAGAGAAAAAAGCATCACAGATGTTGGTACCAGGAGAAGTTACAGACACAGTGCACACATTTTGGGAAGAACTTTGAATCTGGCTTGATTTGGGAATTTCATTTTCTCTATTGTGAGAACCAACCTTCCTTACTTTTGAGATTGATACCAAGGTTTGCTGGAAAGATTCCCCCAAATGTCTCTGTACTTGTGGCTTAAGATTTATGGTGATGCTAAAAAGTCTTCAGGTACTCGAGTTTTTCCTCAGGTTTCCCATTCCACCTTTCAGGTGGAAGGGCTTAACAAGGGTCCTGAGATAGGGCTACTTGAAGTAGGCTGCAGAAAGCAAAATCAGGGAGATAATCTTTTGTCATGGACACAAATGGGGGGGGGGGTGCGCTAATGTGTATGTTTGGGTATGTGAGAAGAGGTGGGGAAGAAAGACAAAAAGACCAAGAAAATGTCACTGTTTCAACTGTCAGAACACAGAGAGTGTTTCACCAAGATCTGGTTGGACCAATTTTCAGGAAGGTATTAATGCATTTTTGAAGAGTAGTCTGATTAAAAAGAAAACAAAAAATGTCATGGAGTTGGGTGGGAAGTACAAACAAGGGTCAAATAAGAAAACCAATTCATATAAAATTCCCCCCCTCCTCCTGTATTTTTTTCCTCAGTGAATATGAGGTGTTCTGAAAACTGCAAGTATCTGAAAGAGGAAGGGTCAACCAGCTTCTTTTCAAGGTGGATGGCTCTGTTAGACAGGCATCCCCCCCCCTTTTCATTGGAGTGCTTTAGATTTTAGTTTCTGGATGCTGAAATGAAGATTCTTACCTTGAATGGTGAGCAGGCAGAAAGGAAAATATTTATGGCCTGAGAGAAAAAAATATTTACAAACTGATACGATAAGCACCACTGAGTTCAGTGGTTCTTAGTCTTAAGTAAGTATGTATAGGATTTGCAATCTTAAGGGAACAATCCAAATGCAGTTCAGGTCAATGGAGGGTTTTGTTGCTATTTTTCAGTGACAGCACTCTGACTTCGTTGTTATGGAATTTTTAATTTATTTGTTTAGATAATTTTCTCTTGATTTCACTGAATTCCTTCTTGATAAATGAATCTCACCTAATCTGTCAGTGAAAGATTAATGAGTTGATGGAGGAAAACTGGTTTGTTTTCTAGTGAAGGATTAATGGGAAAATAAAATGAGTTGCATTTAATTTAGAAAATTAAAATACTGTAGATCTTGAGGAAAATGCAGACAAATGTTTTAGGATTTTTTACAACAGAATTTCTAGTTTAATTGCTAAAATAATAAGATTTGAACAGCACTACTACAGCTTTAAAATGAACTCATAAGTTAGAATGCAATCAAAGAAACCAACCATCAAACTAATTCTCATTGTAATATAGAGCTGAATCTCCCCTAAGACAATCTTTTCAGGGTGGTGTTGTAGGATTGATAGAATCACACACTTGCTTTGCAAAAATAAAATTGTCAGATTTCTAGAATTCTTCTACTCAACAAGTGACTTGCTGGTCTTCCTTTTTGGACCACGCTAATTTGAAAAATGTCATCATGGTCCCAGTAAAAACAAAATATTTTAAAGTTTGTTTTCTGTTTTTATCTTTACTGAAAGGATTTCTTTCATTCAGAAGCAATTGAGAAAACTAACAGACATCCAACCTAAGATTGGTTAAACTCAGGAACCAGCTAGAAATAAATTTGTAGAAATGGTTTCAATTTCTGCATATCTGAGGCTGTGACGTGTATATGCAGCAGATATTATACGCTGAATTTTATTGCTTCTTCCATTGTCCACATCTACCCTGAATTGTACTTCATAAGTTGTACAGGATGTATTTTAGTCAAAATTGCAGACTCTAAGGTATTCTATGAGACCTGTTTTGCTTTAAAACTCTATTTTTCCCCTCTTGATTTTCAGACGTTTTTTAACATTCAGTCTGCCATCTTTAGAAGTCCTTTGAATGATTTAGTTTGTTTAGGAGGAATAAATACACAGAGGAATAAGGAACAGTTTTGCTTTTTGTTGATAGGCAAATATAGGGATTAATTTGTTAGACTTATTTAAGCATTTTAGTAAGAATGGAGATACACATGCACAAGTAGACTAGTTCATTGAAAGCCAGGTTATTGTGTGTCTCTTCTAGTTACATGGATCTGTGAGTTGAAGAAAGGCTGTTCAAAAAATGAATTTTGTCCAGGTAAAGGAGGCCAAATATTTCAGGTCATTGGCTCTAGTTGGTACATTCACCCTCCCTTATCAGAATGAAGTGGGTTTGAAATTTGTTCCATTAGTTTAACTCAACACATACAAAGCTTTTCTTTTCTGTTTTCTATTGAGATTGCTCTGCACTCTCTTGTTTGTTGTTACAAAATACACTCCAAAATAAACTTCCTCGTTTTCAGTTGAAGTCACATTGGTGGTGATCAGTAGCTTGCCTTGACAGCTAGGAGGCGCTCATAGCCTGTCTGATAGAGATTTTGAGTTTCCCAGCATCTGTGAAGGCAAGGCAATAATAGAGAGGAGTCGGGTTTCCATCCTTGCCTACAAAATGTTTTAGGTGTAAAGTTGTGGTATTGATTTTCATGCCGAGATCTGTATAGTACAAGATGAGAGAGATTGCAAGTTAGATAAATCTATTTTCTAAGCAAATTATGACTGATTAAACAACTCTGACAA